TATGTACGCAAGATAAAATTTATTTTAAAATTTTACACGTTTAGTTTCTAATGTTTTTCACTTAGGTGTTGTAGTGATGCATACTGCCTTCATTTTTATAGGTACAAGCCACCCTTTGTGCTCTTCCACCTCAAGGTAGATACTTGACACAAAAACTGGGCCAGTTGTAAATTGCTCTTGTGAAGCAGCAATTCAACGTACCAAGTTTTAGATCAAAGACGCAAAATATAATACTAGCAAAATATACAATTAGGAATGGCAAATAATAAGATTACCTAAAGCAAACGCGGGAAGTTATCATTAGAAAGAATTACTAAAATATGTTCATATTTAAAAAAATAACATACTGGTCATCAATATTCATAAATTAAGATTAATTATAACCTTTTTAATACCTATGTATATAGTTTGATAGCTATTGTTTTATAAGTACAATTAGAGGACCAAGTTTAACTAAATCATAAATAAAATAAATCAAAATGTATCACTACATAGTCAACATAAATTTTATCTTGAAAGCTTTGTTTAGCGTTTTTTCGCCTCATACCAATTCAATGCAAGTCAGTATTTACCTATGAATAGGTAATAGTGTGGTTTGCAGTGTCGCCAAGAGGTATGCGACACACATATATCTCTACATATAATATGTGTACGTTGCATTGAGCGACGGGAGTCCCGGTGAATAATTGAGGGAGGAACACGCATGCGCGAAGCTGGCGTGCTCAATCGTCTCTGAAAAATACGGCTTAGCTGTTCAATAAATATAATGATTCGTTAAATACAATGCAAGCGGGCCCGGATAGCACCGCGGTCTCAGAGGCCCCAAGTAGTGGGAGCGAGGATTCTGATTGTGAATTTGGTCCAGAAACCGAAGAGGCCTCTTTGACTGAAGAATGGGCGCGAGAGCTTCTTATTGACTCGGGCGTGGTCGAACCACAAGAGGTTGGTGGTTAATTTATAACTTCATTTCAATTAAATCTAGGCACTTTAACATTCCATCGAGGATTTTTAATTGTTGGTAATATATAACCACCGGAATAAATTAAATAATTAAGTATACGTTCATCAAAAAACAAAATATATTTTATTTCAATTATAGTAGCTTACTTACCGTAGATAAACTAAAAAATACCTAAGTGTACCTAAATATTAGTAGGTACATATTTTATATTTTTGGTTCAGTTGTTTTAAAAAAACTTTTAGACATTTATAATTTTTTATAGATTCGTGTAGAATCAAGAGCTGGTGTAGCCGGAGCTTTAAGCAGAGTATTAGCCGTAACAATTCGTTATGAAAGCGATGGAGAGAGACATTCATTACCTCTGGTCGTAAAACTTCCACCACGGGATCCATTCGGCCGCCTCTTCGTAGCCGAAGCGCAATTTGACACCAGAGAGATACTTTTTTACACGGAATTAGCTCCGGCGTTAAATAAATTGGCTCAGGAGGCTATTGGCCCTGACGAGGGTTTACCAATACCGCGATGTGTGAAGGCGAGATTACCAGGTGAGAATCTTGCAAATATAGTATTATATCAGACACCGTTCTTGCTTCTTCTGTCGCTATGTGAGCCGATGTTTTATTGAAATCAGTTAATTCATTTATAAATCGCTTAGAGCTTGGGCAATTTTCTTAAATTAACCTAATAATTTTAGAAAAGTATTTGTAATACTTTCGGTAACGCAGGGATTAGTTCCCTGCGTATCTTAACATATTTCGTCTTTGATGTAAAAATGTATTAGGTATGACGTAAATAATCCTGGATTATCGTGCATAATACATTAATATGTAATAAAACAGGTATACATGTACTTATATTTTGTTCAATAAATAAAGAAAGAAAAACTTTATTCCGCTTATTAGAAAAAAAATTACAAAAAATTAATGAGTGCTCTAAGATTCACTGTTCTCTACTGCTATTCTCTTTCATTTGACATACGTATTTAAAGTAACAAAGTTTACATAACACTAACTTTGTTCTTTCGGAAATTTGCCAAAAAATCAAAGCCCTACATTATACTACTATAGTGCATAACTTTCATAAATTTCTCTTGTAAAGTTAAGTTGTATCTTAAAAGAAATATTCTTTCTTTTCAGATGAAATTGGTGGCGACAGCGAGCTTGTATTGGAAGATGTGACGGCAGAAGGTTTCGAATCTGCTGATTTCGCCGAAGGTTTGACAGTAGACCGAGCAAGAGCAGCCTTATTCGCCGCGGCCAGATTACATGCACTCTCTCTAGCGTTACGCGATAGAGAAGGACCGCTTGATCAGCGGTTCGACTTCCTTTTCCCTTGCGAAAGAGCCGCTGCTGGATACCTTCGTTTAGTTCGAAGAGGCTTACCGCAACTTGAAGCATTCCTACGCGGGCGGACCGACTGCGTAGATGAAGCTGCCGCCGTATCCGCCCTAAGTGCTCGAGCACCTTCTCTTCTCGGCACTTTACTCAGACCCGCAGAACCAGCTCCTTTAGCACACGCAGATTTCTGGAGCGGAAATCTTCTCTTTCGAGAGCGAGATGGTATAAGCGAATGTGTAGCACTAGATTGGCAAATGGTATCACTAGGTAGACCGATGGATGATGTAGCCCTGTTGCTTCTTTCTTCATTAACGCCAGAGTTGAGAAGGTCGGTCGGGGATACATTGATTGAGGATTATGGTGACCGTTTAGAGGCAGAATGTGCTAGATTAGGAACTTTAGCAGCTGGAGTAACTGTGAGAAGAAGTTTGAAACAAGACTGGCCCCGCGCGGCGTTGAGAGCTCTTCTTCTATGCGCTGGGAGTGTTGATGTGGCTTTGGGAGAGCCTCGGGCTGAACAGCGACTTTTAGAAGCAGTTAGAGACCTGTATGCTCAAGGAGTTCTCGATTTAAAATCGGACTCAGAATCATGAGTGATTAAGTGCCAATAGCTTTTAATTTTTATGTATATTCTGTATGTACGTATTTATTTGGGTATAGTTATAATTAATTGTGTGTGGGTTAAAAATATAAGCGTACTTTAACTAAACTTGTCAAGGGACATCGACATTTATAATGAATATCTATTGCCAAACAGCAATAGCAAGCCTAAACCAAGACTGAAACTACCACAAGACCGCTATTGCGTATTCAATTTAATTTAAAGCAATATTTATCGAAGAACATTGCTCATAATATTCAAAATTACTATCAGTTTTTCGGCTATTATTTGGAATTTATTTTAATAAACGTATCTATATTACTGTAAAAGTTATGTTTTCTACTTTATTAACCCTCATATAATATAGTTGAGAAGTTGTAGAGTAAGATTTACAAATGAGATTGCGCGAAATATAATAAATGACTCCCCGTATATTATTTCTTATCCGTGGTGAAGCTCTTTAAACTATAACGAAATTTTTTCTTTGTCAAAAGCAAAAAGCCTAAAGTAAAAAGTCTAAAGAGTTTTGATATAAGCACTGACAGCAACGCTTTGTAAAATGAATAAATATGAATTTACTAAAAGTTTTTAGTTAACTGTGCTTCAGAATTAAAGGTCATAGAATTTAATGTTTGTTATTAATCCTGAGCCTCTATAGACTCTTTGTGCACAACCATCGTTGTATTTGAAAATTGCAGAACACAGCAAATTACCTTTTTTGATATGTTGACTATACTGTTACGTCATTATAGTTCGGTATAGTAATCATCTTGATACCACAGACATCCTTGTTACTTAATAGTCTTAATATTACTATTTCCGCTTAGACTACCAAAAAGGTATATAAAGTTAGTACATCTAGGAGACTGTAGAATTAATTCCTTTCTACACCGGAATCGTTATCTGTAAATCTGTCAAACATCAAATCGTTGTCAACTTCAAATGTAAATTGATTTTGTGATTTTGCGCAAGTTTTGTGTAAGGATTTGCGTTTATTCTTTGTACAGGGTTACCAACGTAAAGTTCTCCAAAAAATTTAGGAGGTAAAAAGTAAGATGGGATAAGTTTAGAGAATTTTACTTTTAACAATAGATCTCGTGATTACCCTCTATCCTTCTTATCAATCGAAGATAGTTTATTACTACTAATGGAAGTATCAAAATAAAGCTAGTCGTTATCTTACAATTATTTTTAACTACATTTTTATATTAGTGTTTCCGCTTAATGGGGTTTAATAAAGCACCAATACACTTTGACGTACATATTTATTATAATAAATGTTTGGAGGTTGAATTTAATCATGAATAATAAAATTATACATATTTATATATAATTAATATTTTTCATAGTAGGTAACACTTTACTTGAAAATTATGTTATTATTAATCAAATTTCAATTTAGTACTTGACTGTACAGTGTACATGTACTTGACCTTCGAGTTTTATGATTATAATCATTAATAAAGTGACAATTCTATGAAATGTGTTACAAAAATAAAATTTAATTGTGTTGTTTAAACAAATAATCTAAACAATGGCTCAAACTAATCAAGTAAACCTGGATATGGGTGATGAGGATGTTGAGGAGAATCAGCCTCGAATTAACCGAATGGACTCCGTTTCTAGGCCTGTAGCACCAAACAGGAGTAATGTTGGTCTAGGAGACAGACTGAATATTATGTTCCGAGAAATACGGCCGCTGGTAGAACATGCGCGAATGGTATTTATTAAAATTCTATTGCAGTGCTTATTTACTTTATCTCTCAAAAGTTCTTTGTATATTAATTAACATTATGTTTTTAACATTAATTTTAGGGTAACAATGCTAGACTATCATTACCAACCTGGTTACCTCGGAATCCACCAAATACACATCAACTGGGTGAAGGTCCCCAAAGGCCCCAAAGCTCTATAGCGCATGTAAATCTGGGACCTGCTGCTCAAGCATACGTGGTTACTGACAGAGTAACACCACCTTCAAATGCAAGGGCACAAACAAGTCATGGGTTAAATACAAGTGTCTCTAATGATTCCAACATATCTGAACAAGCAGAGGATATCAATATTTCAGTGAATCCTGCCAATAACAATAATATAAATGATAATGCTGACGATAGTCAAAGTGATGATGGCACACAGCAGGTATAAGTCATTTCTAAAACATATTTATAACTATGACAATATTTTAAAATCCTATAAAAAATAGTTTAGGTTAATTTTGCTGTCAGTATTATTTATAGAGGTTAAGTTTATAATGACCATTCAATTTTATTATTATTTATAAACTGTATCTAAATGTTAAAAATTATTTCAGGTTGTGGATGTACGTGGAACACTTAATCTTTTAATAAGATATGCTCCATTTTACTTTATTCTCTTCATAAAGTATTTATATGACAGTAGAGAAGCTATTTTCACATTTATACTATTATTTTTCATGTTCTGTCATAGTGATAGCCTTGTTAGAAGGTATGTACTTACATAATTGAGTATTAGTTAACTTGTTTTAAGTGGTTAAGCAATAAGCAACTTTGTTTTGATAGTTTCTATTGAACTAATTAATGTAAAACATATTGTTCCAGTTAATTTTATGCATAATTTACCACCATTAATCATTGGCTTTTCGTAAGTACTAAATTATCAATTCTACTTTCAGAGAACATGGTAAACAAATGAACCGCAGCTTCTTAGCTCTACTGAGTGAATTACTTTTCTCATCAAGCTGTATAGTAATAGTCCACTTTCTCTTTGGCCATGGAAGACTCTTACCAAATGTTATTATGTTCCCTGGATACATAAAACCAATAGATGTATGGGAACTTATGTGGTTGGTTGTACTCACCGACCTAATTGTTAAGATTATAACTGTGAATACAAAAATTTTTGTAACAATGATGCCATCGTTTATATTGCCTTATCAGAAACGGGTGAGTAACAGTAGTTTCACAACTAAATTTAATATGTGGTTAAATTACCTTTTCTTGAAAGTGAATCCCAAAGAAGTGGAGTAAACAGATTTTATTTTAACACGACTTCTGTCCAATAGCATTTAGCCACATATTGAAATAAATTAGTTATGTAACAAAAATATTTTTAAAGTGTGGTATTAAAGCTGAAAAGAAATACATTATCTATTACACATGGGTTCATTTTATAAAATTATTTTACGCTTTTATGATGCTTATGAAAGTCTGTATATACTAAGAAACTAGGTTTTGCACTCCAAGGGGAAACTCAACTCCTCATGAAAATAAAAATAATTTTGTCAAGTATTCTTAGAGGTGCTTTTGACCAACCACAATGCAACCCTGTGCACAAACCTTTTGTTTTTTTCTTCTCACTCCAAGATTACTGTAGGTGATAATATAAAGTGCAAAGTGAAACAATTATAGCGTGTTTCGATTGAATGCCAAGGAAGTGTTGCGTGTTGAGTCTGTGATTGGACTAGAAATGCTTTTTAGCTTCACATACCACAGAGGGGGTAAAACGTGGGGCTAGGAGTCATACATTTTTAAATTGTTCTAGTGTATTTAGAATCACATGTTTACAAAATTAAGATATTTTAATAAATTTCAGGGTAAAGTATACCTTTTCACTGAAGCAGTATCTCAGTTATACCGTGCCTTGATTACTATTCAGCCATGGATATTCTTCTTAATGCAGTCCTATGAAGGCTCAGAGAAGATGGTGGGAATGTTTCTTACATCTGCATATGTATTTGCTAAAGTTGTGGAGATAATCGTCCGGTTAAGGCTGTTTAAGAATGCCACATGGACATTGCTGCAAAGCGTGGTGAGTTGGAACAAAAACCTATATTCTAATAGCCAAAATTAAACATTTTTAAACTCTTCATTCTATTCATTAAATTATATTAAATGTTACATCTGTCAGTAGTATTCTTATAACATACGTAGTCGGTCCCAAAGTTCTGTCATAAATGGAAATAATGATAAAAACAAAAGTACTGATCAGTTTGTAATGAGTGATATATCAATTCTTAGTACATTAATTAAGGAATAAAAAAAGCATAAAAATATTCGAAATAACCTCCCTCATTTTTAATACAAGCCCTTAAGCGTCGCGGCCAGTCGTCTATCGCAGCACGCACCATATTCGTGTCGATTTCAGTCACTGGTTTTTTTAAAGATGACTTCAGATTCTCCAAATTTTCATGAGGTTTATCACAGACCTTCCTCTCTAAGCCCTGTCATAATTTTCGGGTCCAAAGGATTAAGGTCCGGACTGGAGGAAGGCCAATCCTCATGTCTAATTAAGACGATGTTTTGACGCTCAAACCAGGCTTTAGTGGTCTTGGCTTTGTATGCAGACGCAGAGTCCTGCTGGAACACGAAGTGATGTCCCGCAAATAGGGTGCTGGACATGTCTTTGACAAGGCGATACAAAACCGTCTCTTGGTACACTGTAGCACTGGTTTTGACCCCCTTTTCGAAAAAATTAACCTCAGTTAGCCCGTAATAGGACACTCCCAACCAAACCATTACTGATGATGGATGATGTCCATGTTGCACCCTTGGAACTTTATTTTCAGCTTCTTCAGAACTCCTAGCGTACACTGTATAATTCTGTTTATTGTACTTCTCTTCAATATCGAAAAATTTTTCGTCCGTAAAGAGGATATCACGGTTTCGGTTTTTCGCGTACCGCTTAAAACAACACCCGCGATCTCTTAAGCCTTATTGCTTTTAGACGAGCATTAAGTAAGTGCCACTCTTTTTGTATGCTCGTAGACCAAGATCTTCATTTAAAACCTTTTTACTGTTTTCCTACTGACACCCATCTGCAAATCCATCAACTTCTGTTTTCGGACAGGATTTCTTACTATCCGCGCCTTGATAGCTTTGATTACTGCTGGTGTTCTTGCGGAGCGTGGCCAGCCAGTTCTTTTCTTGTCCTCAACACTGGAGACTTCAAGGTACCTATCAATAGTACCGTACACAAACCTAAGCGTTATATTCAAATTTTTGAGCAACTTGAAAATGGTACTGGGAGTGTCACAGCGGTGCAACGCAATAACAACTATTCGGTTTACTTTCAATGTCCACTCCATCGTGAAAAATTACGGAAAGTTATTGTTTTTTGTTTTAAAACAATAATCAAACATTCCAAAATAGAATGCAATAATTTTTTTATAAAATCCTGCCCGAAATGTAAAATAATTTGTAGTGACAGAACTTTGGGACCAACTACGTATAGTAACTGACTTAGGAGTATTGCATACTCAAAATGAAGTACAGCAAGTAGTTATAGGGGCCGACAATAGTTAACATATTTTGAGGCTTTAATGCGTAGAAACGTTGAACTCAGTTTAGAAATAAATTTTATTTTAATATTGTAGAACTTGGGTACGAAACCAACAGTGGAGCAGTTAATATCAGCAGGAGACTCATGTCCGATATGTCACGATGACTACACCACCCCTGTGCGATTAGGTTGCAGTCACATATTCTGTGAGCTTTGTATAGCTGCCTGGTTGGATAGGGAACATACTTGTCCACTCTGCAGGGCCAAGGTGGCCGATGAACCTACTTGGAGAGATGGCTCCACTACATATGAGCTTCAATTGTATTAGAGAATTCCTCGGTAACATTATATCAATGTAAAGTCAATCATTACTGAGAACTGGTATATATGGTACATATAATATTTCTTAAAGATTCTATTTTTTGTTTGGAAGATAAAAATGAAGTTGGTGTGTTTTGTTGTTTGACCGGGTTATATATACAAAAGAAACCAAATTACTTTGAGTTCCAAAAGAGTAAGAATAATCTAATACGAGGAAATATTCAATAAGAAGACGGCGTAATGTCACTCTTAAATGAAGGTTTGCTTGATAAAGTTCCTTATGTGTAAAGTATTTTAGTCATCATTATTTAGGATACTCCAGCTGGTGATTTTATTTGTATAGAACCCGGGCATATCAGATGTCCCAATTCCTTGTGCATATAAGGATATTATGGTAACTAAATATATCTGATTTAAGGACATTATTACCAATTTTAGTACCCATGGCGCCAAATCAACGAACGCATGGCGTATAAAAAGCGGCCAATTCCCTACTAACGAATCGTTTCACAGTGGAAGGCAGCTATGAAAATTATTGATAAAACACTCAGAGTTAACGAACTTCAAAAATTGTATTTATATTATAGAAAAATGTCTAGTTTTAGGTTTTAACTTGCTTTGACTGCATCCGCTATTCGTAAATTCGAAATTATTTACATGGCAAACTTTTCAAACCTTATACTTGTTTCACCAGTTTCCATTTGATCTGAGGTCCATATTCCAAATTTTAAGGGGCCGTTTATTAATCACTATTTTTTAGCAACGTTTTCCGTTCTATTAAAAAGAAAATAAATCCTAGTCGTATTGAGAGTAAGACACGAAAGAAAATTAATATTTGTGATAGTTTTTGTTTATGGTGAAATTTCTGGAACCTTAAACCGAATGAGATGGTAAATTAACTTAACATTTAACATTAACTTTTAGTGATGTACCTAATTATATTTTTATATAAATAATATTTTTTATTTTACATATTTTATTTACATTCTAAATAAAAAAAAATGTTTATCATTTTTAATTTTAATGTATTAAAAAAAATGGATAATTTCTAAGTAGATGTACTTACTGAATGTGAGTCCACGAACATATGTCTATTTGAATCAGGTCTATTTCAATTTGAACAGTCCATGGTGCATCGAAATCGGTACAGAGCCTTTTCAGAGATATTAAGCATTTTTGTAACTGGGAGTTGGTTTTATTCTTAATTACTTATATGATTTAATTTTATGAATTTATCTCTCCAGTTGTACTATTAATCCATTGCGGGTTAGTGGCACTGGATTATGTAGTCGTTTGCAAGCTTATTAATTATTGTGTAGTATAGAATGTAAATATGTAAATATTTCAATAATATTTTTTTGTTAAATTATGTGCATATAAATCAGAATTCAGAAGAGAAGGGTTTAATGTGTAAATATGTTGTCGGTTGTAATAGCTCTAATATGAGTTTGGCAAACACTGCGTAATATTTACGAAAGAATCGTAGAACGAAAATTCGTGTTAACACCACCTGAGGCGCTGATAGATTTTTTATGCGTTAATTTAGCGTATTTTTCAAAATTCTAGCACTGTTTCAAATAACCGAAAGAATTCGTTCGTACTAAATATTTCTGATTTTGTTATGTATTATTTTACTTTCGGCCTCTCTATAGTTAAGTTAGTTTTAAATAATATAAAAGACAATCCTTAAACATAACTACTGTCGCTATTTAGCTTTGCAATGATAAAGATTTTCTCCTAGTAATCAATAATATGTAATGATAGATAAACTATGAAGCATTAATTCACCTGCGAATAAGATGCCAAATATATAAAATATTATATTTAAGAATATAAAATGTTATAATTCCACTAAATATATGTATTATACGTTATATTTCTAGACTAAGTGTTAATTACCTTAGATTATTTTAATAAAGATGTGATATAATAAAAAGAAACGGTGATATTTAAGTATTTATTGTTTTAATTTTTTTGGTCCGGTTTTTTAATATAATCTCGCTGGCTTGAATGGGCTTGACAGTACAGCCCGGGCTGTCTTAGCGAGCTAAGCTCTGCCAGAAAATGGGTTGGACACTTGCCTAAAGGTTGGGACGAAAGCTCACTGGAGCGAGGAAAGTATAAAGGGACCTCGCCTACCCCAATGTAGGCGGTTTTATCCTAATCTGAACAGGAATTTCCATGCATTCCGCATCATAGAAATCTCATCTCACATGAAAGAAAAATTTGATTCGCGGCAAAATGCCGACGTGAAAAAATGAGGCTGATGACAACCTTTAAGGCTATCTGCCTACTTCCAACGCTTGAGTCTGTGAGATAAGAGAACCGACAGTTATACGAACTGATATAGTTATTTTTCACTTATCCACGTAAATTATATCTTTTAATTGTTTCTTATAGTCAAAATCTGTTATAACGACATCGACGGGACTACTCGTATTTGGTCGTAAAAACCGATAGTCCTAACTGCCGATGTCGTTGTTATTAAGAACCTAATACAATAGAATTCAGCCGGGACCTTTGATTTCGGTCAATATAACCGGTATGTTGTTCGAAACGATGTCGTAAACTGTTTTGACTGTATTAACATTGTCCAACTATTAGTGCTATCAACTAATAAACAAGCACAGCGGCGACCTCAAATTCAACTACGATTCTCTTTCCGCACAGACTACCAGATAAAGGTTGTGTAAATTTCTTGCTCAAATCGGGTGGTTTTGAAAATGAAAGAGGTTAATATATTTCATTACACTTTAATCGAACTTTACACTTGGCATAACATAATATCGCTTAACTTTAATCTACAAACGTGAAAAATTAAATAATTTAGATCATTTATAAGTAATTATTCAAAGTATCACAAATATCAGATAGTACTGCACTAAAAGCGCGAAGCATCTATCATTGGCCGCCATTTTTTTACCACAGAGTGCGGTCGACGCCGTAAAGATGATTTCTGTCAAAAGAAATACATGAACCCGTATCTTTTAAACCAAATGTCTCATGTCATGTGATATGCTTCAGCTTCTTTCAGTAGATATTTATTTTTTATTTGGAGAATACAAATTGTTGGCTAAATAAAAAAAAAACATAATTTTTCAGTCGTATTGTTTATCTCGTTAGTTGAAAGGAAAGTAGCTTTAAAATAATTTCCACAAAGTACATATAAGATCAAAAGCACTGTTCTATTTACACAAGTGATATGAATACGATATTTTGACGCATTTCGGGATCCACAGAAATCTACGGTTCTTATATTTACCATTAATTACATATAATACATTGTCTTTATGTAAACATTATAACAAAACTTCGATCTTCCGATAGTACATTCAAATATGACCCTAATTCGTATGAGATAAGGATACATAATCGATGTTGTATCAATTTCAGGACGGTAATTATTCTAAAAATAAAACAATTTTTCCGTATGGACAGCCCATATAAATCTCAAAAATAATAATCGAAATTTAATTTAGGGAAGAATCATACACTTGAATAATCTGTAGCAGCTGTTTTCATTTATATCATTTATTATTGTCTTATTCATATTAGCTACGTGAAACAGACATACAGATATTTTAAACACCGGCTTTTATCATCCTAGACCCGTATTATATATACATAGATTTATTCATTAAACACGGGCACATACAACCATTGAAGATTCTTACTAACATATTTGACAATTCAAAAAAATTCCGAATTGTGTATGAAAAATCTGGCAAAACATTTTGTGAAAATCATTGCATATTCTGATTTTCTGGCTGAGAATCAAACATTCAAAATAACACATCAGTCTTATCCTTCGGATTACCTTTAGGCGTTATCAATTCCTCAACTTCGATCTAATTCGAGTATTATCAATTACCTAGGGATCACTGTCTCAACAACCAGTAAAAGCCATCTATAGCGATCAAAAGCTGATCGAAATCGAATAGATTTCCCAAAAAATCCTTGGATTAGCGGAAGCTATGTTTACCAGCCAAGACCAGACTTCGAGAACACCTAACCCGATCCAAAAAATCACAAGGATCCGACTTTAATTTCTTACCAAGTCATCAATTTAACCGTCCTAGTTAAAAGCCAACGGCTCACGCTATTCGTTACGAGTCCGGGACGTTCTCACAGGTCGTCATTTCTAATTTCACTGGTTGCGATGTTCCGGCTTCGACGTCCTGCGGTGGAACTGCGGAGCCGTAGAGAAAGAGGCTTCTGAGTCTTGCCGCCGATCGCGTAGAGGTCGACGGAAGGTCGTCGGGCCAGCTGGCTGCGCTGGTGTTGTCTGATGCTGCGATATCGGCGGTGACTTCGAGTCGATGAGCGGCGGGCGAGTGCGTGTCGTGAGATGCGAGGGAGCCAGCTAGTCCCGCTAGAGAAGGCGCGCGGACTTCTGCGTGTTGGGATCCGGCCGAGAGGGATGCGTCGCCTATAATTTTTTAAATTATAACAAATGTTGATTTGAGGATTATTTTTCAGTCGTAATGTTTTCAAAATTTCATATATTTTCAAAGGTAACGAAGAACTAGATATTTTTTACTACATATTTGAAAACGTTATTGTACCCCAAAATCCCAGGAACCACTTGTTTGAGTGGAAAAATTGTTTTTGTAGATAGCCCATCTAATAAGATATATACGTGGGTGACACTGAAAATGATTAGAACTGGCCAGTTATAAACATTGCTGATGAAAACTTTTTTGAATTTCAATTTTAGAACTCTTTGGTAACCTAATGTAGTATATTGCATAGAAGCCATAGAATTTAAATTTAATTGCCATAGAAGGGACCACGGACCACCATAAGGAAGAATGGGCCCACTGCTTTTCTCAGTGGTTCCATCGAATGCGACGATGTGTTGAGAGGAACGGAGATTACTTCTAAAAACAATAAAAGTATTGGCAACTCTCTACATTAAGCCGTTTTTCATTTTCTAAAGGTATAAATAAACACTGGAAAAACCATGGCCCCAGCATAAAATCTTACCTATGCTTGGTTCAAGCCGACGTGAATACGCATCAATATCTAGGGCGTGTTCTCTTTCATCTTCGGCGTGGGGCGGAGCTGCGGAACATCCTCCAGCCCGACATAAGGACACAGGGACAACGCCGTATACGTAGAAAAGGAGAATTGGCACTCCAATACCAACTGCTAATCCGGCTACCAATGGTGATACTATTAGCTATAAAAAAGTAATTAAAAATATATTACTCGTGATACAATAAGTTAAAGTTTTTTGCCTGTTCTTCACATATAAGAGCGCGTTTATGAACGGTCTGCAAACTTAAGCGAATATTTATAAATGTATTAAAATACTTTCTAAAAATGTATTATTTGCTTACCGCAGCAGCAACGGCAGCGGCGACAGCAGCTCTACGCCTAGCCGGTTTAGCTCTGCGCAGGCGTCGATGCGCGCGTCTACCCGCCCAAAGTGGCAGTCCCACTAATAGCGCTGGTAGTGCCACTCCTGCTACCACGGCTATGCCTAGTGGAGCGCCGGCTAATGTACCAAGTTGCCAAAGAAGTTTCTTTTTTCGTGACCATGGCTTTTTTCCCCAGAACGTACAACCGCTAGGACTGTAAAAAATCGTTTATGAGTACTTAACACCAAGACTATACAGACTTAAAGTACATTTCAATGATTATTTCGCTGATCGCGTTTCCTTTAACCCGAAATATTATTAAGTCACTGACTGACTGACTGATTACGTACCTAACCAATTAAGAAAAATTATCAGTGAGACAAATGCACCTTTCTCATATTCCATTATCGACGGATTCTAAAGCTTAAAGAGCCACGAAAATGTCTAATATTTATTACACATATTCTCACCTAAGATAGTGTAAGTCTGAGACCTCCTTCATACAGAGCCAACAGAACTCGGCGCCGCAAACACAACACACCATATGATTACATGAGCCATCCTCCACTTTCACTATAAGTACTGAACATCGGGGGCATGGTTTCACTTCCCCTGGAAGAAAAAAAACAGCTACTTTAAATGTTCATTAAAAATATACTTACAATTCGGAATTCAAAAAATGTTTCAATCATTAAAATCTTAAAATTAACTGTATATATTACGTTCCAGTTATGTTTTGCTAAAAAGGAGATTGCTCAGTTACTGCTGATCTGATCCCAACTAAAGCACCACATACATCTGTCTAGTGTCCAGTTCATTTGTAAATATAAGATCGAAGAGTATACTTATTTCTATTGTAGTAAAAACTTTATGGCTGAGAGCTACAATAGTAAAAAAACGTGTGTGTACTTAAAAGATATTTTACAATAAACACTATGTTTTTTATCACATTGGAATGGGTTGTCTCGGATAGAAATCATTATTTTAGTTTGAATAAACACTACTCTGAAAAACACTACGCCATCACAGACAATGCAACTTGTCGATAAAACAGAGTAAGCTGTTTTACCGACGTTTGAACAGATATTCAGGGTGTCGGTTTTTTGTGACGGTGTACAAGCGCATCGTAAAAATTTACTCTTATCATTTTTCCTTAAAGCGCCAAACGAAGTATAACTTCAAAAACTTTATGGTTGAGAACTAAAATAGTGAAAAACTGAATTCATTTGCTTACCATGCTCCATTTCGTTGTGCGAAGGCTGCGGCGCCCGTGGGGGTGGCTGACGACTTCTGCGTGCCGCGTCACAGGTCTGCGTGGGATGCCACGCCGCCTTACAGTGGTAACAGAAGGACGCGCCGCAACCTGGAGCCAGACAGGTCAGTTTGGGGCACGACGCACACCCGGTAGCCACCACTGCGAAACTGTAAGCGGAAGAATAGTTTAGTACGAGGGAAAAATTTGAGAATGATAGTTCAATAATCGCGGTCAGTCTGCAAGAAGGATTTAGGCGTAACCACCTCGATGCAGGCTAACTTTGCGAGGAAATTGTGTATCATTCTTAAGAACGTCTTTTAATTTATACAAGTGCAAGTGTAGTGAAAATTTTGAAGCTCCTTGTGATCAGTAAAACCTAAGCAGTTCAACAATTTTCAGAATTTAGTGCCTTAACGTCCACCATGTTAAGGAAATTTCCCAATAGAGATACAATATATAAAACTTTATGCACAATAACTAGAGAAACAATAAACACTACCAACGTAACTTCTCGAACTTTTTTTATTACCCTTTTGTATAACGAGCTTAGATGTAAAAGCAGTCGTCACGGGCGCACACACTGACTTACAAGGATTAGTACGGCGATGCGTCATGTCTTAATTGCCCGAATAACACGCGGTCAGAGGACAGGACTTAATAGGGATTACTCGATTAGTGATGTAAGCATAACGATGCCTTACAAATTGTAACTGAGCTGTCTAGTAGTTTCGTTAATTTTGTTGTGTTGTGTACAACATAATAAGTATTCACAAAAATCACTTATTATTTATACTATACCCAGCATATGAAACTATGAGTCTGCGTTGGTATTAGAAGTTCAAAAAAGCTCTAAAGGAAGCTAAAAATTATCTGTTTATTATTATTAAATAATAGTAAAAGCCTTTTATTTCAGACACATTACATTTAAATACTAATTATATTATTATAATTCTATCATCTAATTCATTCCTAGATGTGTGTAGAACACACAGTTTCTGTCTACACTGTGTCACTCCCTGCCATGTACCACCTGCTGTTTACATAATCTGGTCAATTCATTTTCTAAATTCTCTTTCTCTTTTGCGTTTATTGTACCTTGGGCACCAGTTCATTAATAAAACGGAGCAACTACGTACTATAGTATAGTAATTTATTAATTTGAGAGCCTCCTTCGATTCCGATCTATGGAATATTTATTAAGAGCATGTAGTTGTACTTTTACAGATAACTTAATGAACGACTCTGAGTACATAAGACTTAGATGTTGTCTGCAAAGTAGAAAAAATGAGTTTAAAGACCAACCTGCAGTCAGGTGCTGGACACCACCGGGTATCTGGGTCAGCTGCAAGCGCTCTCCGTACAGAGAACTCTTCATATTTGTCATACAGGACTTGATTGTCCACTATCCGTCTCACGTCTGAAAATATAGATTAAAAAATTATTCGGCCAATTAAAAAAAAGAGTTCTTCTATATTCATATTTATAAACGATTCTCCTATTTATTCATAGGGATTTAAATAAAACTTTTAATACTCGTGAATTATAATGTCCTAAGTAAATATGAAATTTTGCACATCAGTTGAATTTTGTATAAATTAAAGTTAAGTTTTTAATAGTTTATTTATTAGAATGATTGAATACATTTAAGTCAAAGCACGACTAATCATTTTTAAACATTAAAATTAACATTTAGACAGACCAAAAGACGTCATTATTAACCAGTTTGAAAGTTGTAATGAAGCTAATAATATCAATGATTTTATGTACGACTTAAAATGACCTTTCCATAATTCGTTTGCCATATAGAACATGATTCAAAAGTCACGAGAAATTGAATAGGGATAATTGGAATCGCTGTGAAAATTGAACGATGGATAATAAAGGAGACGACTTAATAGGGAAAATCGTCCGATTCCACTTGAAATTAATACCGCCTGAACGCTGAATTTTTCATCGAATTTGTAGCTCAAGTTGAGAATCAAGTATTATCGAGTGCAATTTATTCGATCGTTTGAACAGATTGAAGCAGTTTACTGTACAAATAGTTGCGAAAATGTAACTAAATTGAACATATTGATACGAATCTTTTCACAATTGTTTGAACTGTGTAGTAATATAATATATATATGTGTCAGGTAATGGTCGGATTATGAAGAAATGTTACGCTTGAGTCAATAGACCGTTGATTTTTATTGTTGCTTTGAGTTCCCTTCTATTACTTATAAGAATCATAATATATTTTGATTCGATTTGTTTTTTAGTATTGTCTTTGATTAACATAATCTTTACACATTTAAAGAAAAAACTTTTTAACCGGATTAAAGTTATGTATTATTATAAATTTACAATTATTTTACATAATTTTAAATTTATCCGACGTTTCGCGTTCTTTACAGCGTGCGTGGTCACGGTGACTTCGATTAGTTTTGTTATTTTTATTTAATTATATTCAATTGTTTAATATTGTTACGACGGATCAGATCAGAGCAAATGCATGAGCGGGGACGAGGCGCCATCTTGATTTTGGACAGTGCGTTCAAGGAACGCTGGACAGTACTAAATACTAATTATTAAGTACATATTCAGTGGAGCGTTATGGTGTTGAGAGTGTAAAAACATCTAAATTAAATATGGTACGATTATTATTCGTCTTGTCTTTTGTGCTCGCACTTTACCCACAAAATCCACTAATGATGATGTCAATATCAATATTTCTCAAACATACATTTTATGTCCCAAAATAGATGTACAATTTAATTTGTACAAATGTGTTATGTTTGTGTAAATATGTTATAACAAATAACATTCTTCAAAAAAAGAGTTGTATATTTTTCCTTTCAAAAACGGATTTAAATTAAACGTCATAACACTAGTAATATTAAGACCACTGAATAAAAAATACAAACGTAGCGAATTAGATTTCTACGAACAAATGCGTAAAATCGATTACATTAACCTATTTCCAAGTTATATTGACAAAGAGAGAACATATTCTATGCAAATTACGATTTAGCAGAAAATCATATATTTCGTAATAAATTAAATTAAGTACTCATTCTGAAGTTTCATCTACATTATAAAAATAATTCAATTACACTGTTTTAACCAAACATGCGTCTCATTTCCCAGTCACTCATGTGCAATGAAAAGACACATTTATAATTATGTAGTCTCTAAAAGTCTCTGATCTCTGATCAAAAGCAATTGATGCTCTAAACCACGCAAAAAAAATGAAGTGGAAGTGGGCGGGATATGTAGCCTCACAGATCACAGGTGGTCGAAAACAGTAACAACATGGAGAAGCCCAACAGGCAAACGCAGCAGAGGCAGACCCTACGCTCGATGGGATTATGACATTAAAAAAATCGCGGGTCCCCAATGGATACAAATGACTCGGGATAGAGAAAGATGGTCATTGTTGGAGGAGGCCTTTATCGGAGAGGGATCCTGATACATACTAACTGAAAAAGATATTGACTAACACAGGCTTAAAATAAATAAATAGGGTGTAATGGGCATTATCTGTAATATAAAATTTAACCAGTCTTTTTCAAGTTAATTTATCTTGGTCGTTCTATATAGAACGTTTCATTTTTATTATTAATCATCAACAGATGGCGTTGTACATATGTAAAACGCGATACGAAAAACGATGCTATACAAATATATACCGTTTAAGATTTCCGAATTCCGATCCCCATTGCGGCCGAGCCCTGAATGCCAACAGCGAGGTTCCATTAAAAATATTTCATATTAAAGGTTATTTGTAGATGTTTTCATAATATTAATAATAAAGTAGTTTAACTAGTGTGTACTATGTGGTTTGTCATTCCGTACAGACGCGGTTCTGACACTCTTAAAGTTAATAAATAAGGATATCAGTCGTTCAATTCTTTTGTGAATGATTTTTAAAGATACAAGGCTATAAGACAATCCGCACATATGCAGGGGTGCTAGACAATTGTTTAAAGAACAATAGTACGATATGTTCAATATTTACAATAATTATTATTTAATAATAATATGTGATAGAGAATTCATTCACACTCATTATTATAATATCAAACTAATAGAGGATTATTTTTATATTTTGTGCATTGTAAAATGAACCTTATAGCAAAGTAAAAGATATCAGATTATAACTTACAAGAATTAGAAACATTTGATATATAGTAGAATAGTCTCGCTGCTTGCGTTTGCTTAGTTTAACACTTTCTTTTGTTTCGATGTTTATAATAACACAAAATATTTCGACAATAATATAAGGCTCTCATGCATTATCAAAAATATAAAATTTCATAAAAACAATATTGTGCCAGCTAAAGAGCATTATTGTTTGTTAGAATAATTAATGTGTCTTTGTTAGAGATCATTTACGCTATTAATAATAAATAATCTAGTGACGCCAGGGGTGGATCTACATAAGGGCTTTTTGGGCTGCAGCACAGGGCCCCAAGTCCCAACTGAAAACAATAGGCAATATTTTGAATAAAAAAAAACTGAAATTTAAAAAAAATCAAATCAGTTTGATATCCTTGAGATCAGCCCACCCAGGTGCGATGCGCGTCTATCGAAAGAAATGGGAAATTCCCCGTCGCTTGTTTTCGGTCAGTGTATTTTTTCGCGTCTATTACGAGGGACTTCCCCGCCCCGGACTTCGCCCAGAGCTCCACAAATTCACGATCCGCCCATGAGTGGCGCTACAGCCATATATGGGTCTTGGCCTCTTATTGCATCCTTTTTATTTTTATTTCATAGACAAATAGTAGTGTCATCGATTTTTGGATTTGAGACATGCCTATTTCCTCACGATGTTTTCCTTCCATTGGTGCACGGCCGGAGATCGAACATACGACTTCAGGGATGAGAGTCACACGCCACTAGGCCAACAATTGCTTAATGCTATTGCTTTATTTTATAGGTTAATATACAAAAATACAGCTGGGAAAAGATGTAGATTTTTTTAGTTGTGAGTCAGTTATGTTGAAACTATTGATTTTCGTGTACGTGAATAAAACATGAAGTGATATTTTAACGGACATTATAATACCGATCTTGTATTCAGTACACTGCAAAAATTATTCGTCATAGTGTGTTTATACATTCTATTGTCTCCTACATGGATCGGAACACCTTGAGCATTTAGGTTTCTTTTGAGCATTTATTAATTAGTTTGCTTTCTAGTTTTAATTACTTTCTAATAATCTCTAAATGAAGACGATTTAATATGTATTTGAAATCTTGCGATCAAAATACAGTTCGTACGTTTTTAAATAGTTGTATTAACGATGATTTATTTGTTCAAATGTTTTCATGCAAATCCAATAGGTACCTGCCCACAGACATTGATTTTTTATTCTTTTTGCTTTCCACGATTAAAATTGAATAATCGAACTATAATCTGTTTAACAAAATCAATATACTCAAGCAATGCATTAAACATGTACACGAATTTAAATAACTAAAGTCTATGACGCAAAAAGAAAACCTGAATATCAAAAAGCCCCATATTCTAATGACACTGTGTAGGTGTTATTTAAGTTTAACAAACAGAATTTTGAAATAACATCAAAATGTATTTAATCATATTGGTTACTATGTACACATATAAATGTCAATATTAAAAAAAGGCCGTAAATTTCCATTTACCTACTACCAGTTCTCAAATCAGAGGCAAGAAACCCTCTGCCATTTTTTAAATTTTTTGGTGTACAAAAAAAAACTAAAACAACAACCACTGCCCCATTACCCCATACCTCATTTAAATCAGCATCAGCATATTTTTTTTATTATTTTATATGCATATTTTAGGATTAGTTTTTGTCTTTTACTGTTTCAGAATTCCTGAGCTTAGATTATTGTTTGCTAGATTGATGATTGATGATTGTCAATTAATAATTTTTTATTGTTCAATTTAAATGATTCGCAGCTCCTGTGGGCTTTCCTTAAATAAATAATTACCCAGAAGATCCTATACAATGCGGCCGTGTTGGTATCTATTTTTATTGCCTACGTAGCCGAACTTTCCTAGCAACATTCTATAGATAAAAGAGAACATTCTAAAGAGGGAAACGGAAATTTACACACACCTCGGATATAAAGGCCGCGTGAGCGTTCTTCTAAGTTAGAAGATCGTTTTAGGCAACCATTTTAATAATTAATGACTTGATATAGGGAACGGAGCCAAAACGACCCTTCCTTGTTATATAACTCTATGTTGTTACCCTTCCGGGGTTAGAATAACGACGTAATCGTACTATCAATAGAGTCTCGCTTCATTTATTATTTAGATCGTTAATGATTTATATGTAACATAATAATAGACAGTAAATAAAATATTTATTAAAGTCCCTCAATGTGTAAATAAATGAATAGAATTAGATGAATAAAGGATAAATAAGAATTATAACAAACGGCCGTTTTAAATATTGTTCTAACAACCTACGCTTGAATAGGCTATGTTTCTATCGTAAATTTTCGTTTACAAGACTGCTAACTTCACTATAGATGATCACCCGAAATATAGTCAAAAGTCAAAAATCATTTATTCATGTAGGTAACACAATGTACACTTATGAACGTCAAAAAAAGAAATATACATTAAATGCTTCTAATCACCGCATACCGCATACACGAATTCAAGTACGACCACAAGTAGCACCCGTTCACGAGTATGACGCATGGCCAGCCATCGGACCCCTCGCCATATTTTAGGGAGAGAGACAACCCGACGCATGGACGCCGCCACAAGCAATGAAATTTAAGCGAGCATGACGATCCTTGAAATGTGGACTTGGCTACATAAGAAAATAATAATAGTACTAAAGAACTTACCAGACGGATGCATGCTCTCGTGACAGACGGGGCAGTTGACCGGAACTCTGGCCTCGAAGATTTCTATAGCTAAGTACTGGCGTAGGCATGACTCGCAGCAGCGGTGTGAACACCAGGCGAGTCTCACCATGGTGGAGGCGTTGAATGTGGAGAGGCATAGCGGGCAGTCTAAAACGTCACCCTGGAAAGAGATTACATTGGTAAGTCGCGCGGTCACACAAGCACTAAGCAGAACTGTGTTAGCTTAAACATTTTTAGGGTTTATTGCTGAACAAAAAATCGGGGAAATCTATAGAACATAGTATCTAATGACCTAATGTGGTACGTAAGCAATGACACCATAAAAATACAAATTTTAAAATTGTATTAAGCAATAAGGAAACGCATAAAAGCGATGGGAAGATAAGAAACACGCGTAAGGAGCAGTTGAGAATGACCTTGTTAATCTTTACGATTAATCTGTAGTTGGCTAAGACGGGCTTTTCTAAGATGCCATTAAGTCCGTGGGAAGTTTTCTTTCATTTCCATACTAATAATTGAGATACAAAACGACTTCATCCTTCATCCACATAGAATACAATTCTTTCCTTTTCATGGGAACTCGGTTATTTAAACCGTATTACCCAGAATAACATAATTCATTTACCGCTCTAGTTTCGCTTAAACATGCAAAATGTTAACGATTCGAGAAATCCTATTAACAGGAAATTAGCGTGACATAATAAAACGTGACGTGATAAAAGAATGGATGCCATGCAATTTGATTCGCAGGATTTTTACTTGCTTTTGTTTCAACTTTTGTGTGGTATGTGAAGAAACCTTTACCACAAACAACAAATAAATTTAATGACAACGAGATCTTTATATCTTTAATAATAAAATTATAAGCTATTTTAGTTTTTATATGCAATATTTAATTACCCTAATGAATTATATTATTATAATATATATAAAAACATTAATATAAATTTATTGTTAATTTCATTTCAAGATTTAGCTAAAAAAATCTCATCAGGCAGCATCAAACCATTTATAATTCATTATTGTCACAAAATTGTAATAGGTACAGGCGACTCTCGATAATTTGAAACTCAAGGGACCAGAGATAAATTTCAAATTACTGAGAGTTGGGACCAGAGATAAATTTCAAATTACTGAGAGTTGCGACCAGAGATAAATTTCAAATTACTGAGAGTTCAAAATAACAAGCAATTAAATAAACACGAGGCGGAGGCCACTCAAGTAAATAAGAGATTGATCAAAATTCGTGATTTAGTTTTTCTATATTATTATTATGTATTAACATTTAAATACAATTATTCACAAATTTATATTTCAAAAAGAAGTCTGTAATCTTTTTTAAACGGGCCACGGACTATAATCTTTTTTTTCAGTGAGCAGCTACCGATCATTTAGTCATGATGTCATTACAAAATCAAAATTAACATACTACATATTAACGAAAGACTGGAATGCGTATTTTAAGCAACTATCTTATTTATTTATATATATATATATATATATATATATATATTTAATTATCATTTAGTTGGTTTTTAACTATCCAAAATACCAAATTTAATATATACAGGACTGTGCATGACAAACTCTTTAGGTTATATATAGTGACTATTTATTGTATAGATATATTTTTTAATAAAATTACTTACACTAATCCTAAAACACCCACAAAGGGGGGAAAGCGGCGAAGGCCGAAACGACAACAACAAAAAAAGAAAAGCAACGGGGACGGGATGGGGAAAGGGGGGGGGGGCGTCCCCGAGGATTAATAATTTTAAAAAAATAAATTAAAAAATTTTTTTTTAAAAAAAGCAGAAAATTTTTTTTTTTTTTGGGTGTTGCCCGTCCTTTTTTTGGTGGTTGCAAAAAAAAAAAAAAAAAATAAATTTTTGGATGAGAGGGGTGGGTTTTTTTTTATTTTTTATTTTTATATATATATATATATATAAAAAATACAGAGGGGGGGTGGAAAAAAACTCTTTAGGTTATATATAGAGAGTAGAGAAGCTGGGACTTCAAATTATCGAGGAGGAGGAGACCAATTAACATTGTTTTTATTCAATGTATCGATGTTTCCGGAAAAGTATATACATATATAGATAGATTCAAATTATATATATTTAAATGTCTAGTTTGTGTTTCCACCACACCAACTTATTTTCTATTTAAGATCATGTATATAATAAAAAAAAATAATCGAGAGTCCACTACTTGAAAAGAGTATAAGGATATTATTCTTGTAAAGTATTCGAACTTTACCGTATTGATGTAAAACTACGGTGCATAGTGTTGAATAATCTGACTAGAATAATAATTTATTTAAAGATCTGACAACTATGTACAAACAGATGCTTAGTTGCCAGCGGGTGCCAATGTCATGTTCTTGAACCTACACCTACATCTTAAACGTCGTGGGCGCAGGTACGGCTATCGACAGGTGTAAGAACTGATATCTCTAGCTTTAGTCTCAATGCAAATTAAATCTACAAATGAGTATAGATGCTCATATATTCACGGGACTCTCAACTTATTACATTCTCTACTGAACTAATTACTTTTCCCTCTAGAGGAGCTCAGTTATGACGTCACCCTTTGACGTCAGGTTCAAAAGCTAAAGCTGATAGTAATTTATCCTGACCTGACGTAAAGTTTGCATAAAGCAACATCAACTAATTTACAAGGTTAAAAATAGTTTTATGTATTTTCGAAAGACTCTCAGAAAATTAAGTTAAATCCTATTAGCTAAAATGCGTATCTTTGTGTGTATAATCTCTAAAATAAGATCAAGTTCGAGCATTACATGTAATACGTGAGCGATCGTACCTAACAACAGTACCCGAGGTCGGGAAAGACACTGGAAACATTCCCTTGGGTTTATAGGCTGGCTTGGTTAATTGGGGTTTTGGGAGAGGTAGGCTGTCCAAACTGTCACTAATATAAGTACTCTTAGCCCACTTCACAAGTACGGTTTATTTATATAGATACAATCATAGGAAAGGTCCGAAAGCAAGTAATAAATAAATAATAACACTAACAAAACTTTTCACTTATAGAAATATACCCCGAATCTGATCTTTGACAACTGAACGTTGTTTGAATGAATGGTTTTATGAAATAGTTTTCGTTCCATAATATTGTTTACTTAACAACAATAATAATCAATTTTGCTAAGCGCGGTTTACCTCCTACACGGGAATACCCAAATACTTTCGTTATCTCCATTCGCGGTAAACGTCTTAATTATTCAATTAATCATATATAATCACGTTAATACGTGAATCTAAATAACCAATTACATAATAATGGTTTGAGGACACTTTAGAGAGATAAATATAAATTAAATATAAAAAAAATTTAATTTAATTTTTTTAAATTTTAACCCTTAACATTAAGGGTTTTCAAAGATAGTAGCCGATTCTCAGACTTACTGAATATGCATAAGAAAAAATCATAAGAAGCGGTAGAGCCGATTCGGAGGAGTATGGGAACGAACATTGTGATACGAGAATCTTATATATTAGATTACACATAAAAACATCTTAAATATAAACGTCTTACCTGGGATTTAGGTATATAATCATTATATGTTATTATGTATTTTGAACGCTTCCCCAGTCGTTGTATAAGATTATTACCAGCAATTGCTGTTCTCGGCATTTTAATCACAAAATAAAAAATCTATTCTCAACTTTTAATCAAATACACAACAATTACTACACCGTTTCAGTTTCAATAAAAGTTCTCTAAAATTTCGTAAAGCTTAGAATTTCGCGTGCACGAATATACGTATGCAGACACAAATAATGATTAATACAAATATCAGTGTTATATATAGTAAGAGATAAAGATTGAAATTATCGAATTTTTAACAAACAAACAATGATAAATATATAATTTAACTAAGTTGTTTATTGTATTATCAAAACGTCTGATTATTGTTAGCTTAGATACGAGTGCTAATTACGTATTAATAGTACATAAATACTGGCAAAATTGTTTTGTTTGATAAGTATTTCAATGTTCTCGGTTTACATTCCTAAAACTAATTGCACGATTATATAAAGAGCTTTTCTTTACCAAATTTTTTTCAACGTCTAAGACTGCTTTCCGTGGCTCGAAAATAGAAGGACATAATATTTTCCTTTAATTGTGGTCCACTGAGCAAACACAGTTTCGGCATGGGAGCCGATGTAAATAAATTTGTTATTTATTTACTAAATATTTAATGAAGACATTTACCAAATGTGTCATTCATATAGGAACCATGATCCCGAGTTCATAAAACTTCGTGAGAATTTTCAAATAAAATGTAAAATTGAGATACTGTCAATATAATTCAGATATATTCTATATGTAGATGTTTTAATTGAATTTTTCCCGACTTTTTTCAGACAAAGCACATTTTATTAAAATATATATTCGTATCACACAGATATCCCCTATCATATTGTTACAAGAAGTATTATAATAATCATTATTTTCAAATTTAGTCCAAATTAATATCCTCGGTATTTTGATAACAAATTGCTTATAACATTAGTCATCTACCCAATTAAATATGTCAATAAATCTCTGCAATTAATACGCTCAGATCTGAACTAAGGCGACATTTGAAACTTGGTATTTTTTTAAAATCAAAGATAAAGATGCCATCGCATTATTAAGACAAAATTGTATAAAAATGGGTTTATCCGTTTTGCTATAACAAGACACTAAGTAGTCTTGCGCATCTGACCGGACAACAATCCCCGTAAAACCCAAACTATTAATAATTGTCTCCAGTTGTCATCTTATCAAAAACCTTGACATTTGATGACGTCATATAACGAAATTCAGGTACATGTATTTTATTCGACACGTGCTGATATCGAAAAGTTGAAAATACCGTTGCAGAAACTCCATATTGAAAACGGAATCGCTATTAAACTAGTAACGTATACCAATCGGTCTATTCCATTACCGCTACTACTAGGTCTGTTAAAAATTATAGGGCTTATTGGATACAAATATAATGCGAATAGTAGACGGATACTGTAGCTGCGGAGTTGTTGCACCGGACACAGAACAAGAGACATTCCGAAAGACTAATTTCCTACCTCCAGTGAGAGAGTAGTAAGAACAGAAGACATATTGTATATTCGCGGACGCGAAACGCTGCGACTCCTTCAATACAAAAATCCCTTCGGGAGTGTGCTGCGGTATTGCGGGCTACTCGATTGTGAGGAAGTTGCATGGATCTGGTAAGTGCTGCGCCTTCTTAAGTCCTCATTTTAAAATGTGTGATGTTTGAGAGCATAAATAAAATGAAATATCATGACATTCTTTCAAGCTGCCACAGACCCAAGAGAGACTGCACTTTCTAACTCGATTGTACATATTGTCTTATCAGCGATCTAATATTTGCTTGCACGTGGTCGCGTAATAAAGTAAACCAGGCCATCGAAGAACCGCAGAAAAAGAAAAAATATACATATATGTATATCGATTCGATTTCAACAAATATTTGAGTATGCATCTGACAACTTTAACCTTGAGAAATAGTTTTGATTGTTACATATTACATAATTATATTCTCCAGAACCTTTCTGAAATATACTTAAATTCTATAGATGTCTTCGAATTGGTTCGGAAATACTTCAGTGGGTAGTTGGTTTCACACTGTAGTGGTGCGCGGCAAAAACTGCCTTAAAAAACGATCGGTTGTAATACGGCTGGAATTTTGTATTCGGCCTAGACGTCTAATTATGAAACTCAGCTACTCAGGGATTAATCCGAACAAATCCTTTGAACACTCTCAATGGTTAATGCGATAGACGATGCAGAGAGACGCCACATCTCTACGCAGAGCTTCAAGTGGAAGGAGTTGGTAATGGGGAGAGGTGAGAACGAAACTACATTCTTATAAAAAAAATTTAAATTAAATAAACCCAGTTTTAGAAATTATAGCCATTACCATGTTTGCAACGTCAGGCGTCGTCAGCGAAATTGTCTTTTCATCGACAGTTAAATGAACATACACTAACTTAGAAATACATTTTGACTATGTAAACAATAGTGGTTTTGACACAACACTTCGTCTCTAGCACTGATCGACAAAGCGTGTCGTATGCTCTAAGGAAAACCTCGTCGCTGGTTTAATAACATAATGGGGTTTGTCCGACATACTTTAGGTATTTCTAGTAGGTCATGAACAGCAATAGCTCAATGGTTGTTGATTTAATTATAATTACTAAGAGTTTATCCTGTGATCAAACTTTTGAAAACACTTTTTCGTTTTTTTATAAACTAAGTGGGGGTGGAAATGTTACACGAAAGACGAACGGATGGCATGTTTCGATCTACTGTGATTGGACTGGGGATGCTTGTTTATAAATTTATTAAAGCTTTGTTGCATTACATATTTGGTTCATACATTCAAATAGCGTAAATTAAGGTGGTAACGGGCGGTTTGATAACAAGCGATCTCTTCCAGGCAACCCTAGTAAGGAAAAATAAATATAATAGGTACTAAGGGTAAAGTGCATACCAAATTTAATAAAATAAAATATCAGGTAACATTATAGACGTATACAATTAAAAAAACCAAAAAAAAAATTATGGTTTCTAAAAGTCATGATTAATCAGATGGAAAGAATATGGTTAAGAGGTGTTTATGTAGAAGACTTTTCAAAGACGTTATAGAAGTAGCTAATTGTATGGGATCGGGGAGCGTATTCCAAAACTTTATAGCGGAGATCCTAATATTGAATGTTGCCTACAAAGGATGACAAGTGGGAAGGGATTTCGAAAATACATCTATCAGAGGAGCGAAATTTATCGTTACAAGGACCCAAGAATTTAAATTCATTTTTTTAATAAGTAGAAGGAGTTCTGGTCTTGAAAACGTCTTTTATTTTACATTCTCACAATAGCAAACGTTTATCAAAAAACGATGATATGCGTCGTTTAATTTTCATTGGTCAACGGAATGTCTAATTAATTAATCAAGCTATGCCATTGTTTCCTTTTTTTAAATTAAATTCTGACGACAGGCCTCTCTATTAAGTCGACAGCACTAACACGAAAAAATATCGTTTTTGTCTAGTAATACCAATATGGTAAAGTAATAAGCTGTATTTCTAAATCGCTATACTAAGTCGCGTTACCTTGATAACCTATATCTGTACTTGTAAACATTATGACATAACAATCAATGCGGACCGGCGAAAGGAATTATTACGAAACGGTAAAGGTAATCCGGTGCGCGTGCGCCGTGCACGTTACGAAATACGGTAAACAATTAATCACGTTGCAACATATGACAGTCGCCTTGCAAATACTAGATAAATCGAGTTGACGATAATTATATAATTTATATATATTTTTTTTATAGGACAGGATAACCGCCGCTCATGGACACCTGCATTGCCGGGGTGTAGCGGGTGTGTTGCCGACCTTTCAGGGAATGGTACACTCGTTTCTTGAAGGTCCTTAAATCGTATCGGTTTGGAAATACCTACGACGGTGGTGTGCGGCAGAAAGTGCCTTAAAAAGCGCTGTTATAAAAATGTAATAGGCGAGTCAATCAAATAGAAAACCTTATGCGATCACCTTAAGGTCCTTTTTTAAATGACAGCGTGAATTTGCATCTCTTAAAATATATACTACATCTAATATTAAAAGCAATGGTTCACCATTTTATAAAAAAAATCTGTACGCGATATAATTATTCGAGGAAATACTTACGAACATTACACGTCGAAATACATTATGTGTTTGCATATTTTAAAAATACTACTGAATTTCAGGCTAATAAAACGTTTACACATAGGTACATATAATAAAGCCTAACATCCTTCCCTACAAATCATGAATACTATTTATGATATTCTTTTTGGGTCTATCTCTAAATTCATCAAAATACATTGCCCTTATAATGATAAAAATGGCAAACAAGATAATAGATTATAATTACAGATTATAATTTTGTTATTATTTGCCTGTAAATCTATTGACGCTATGGTAGCAACAGTCGCTTCAAGGTAATTATGATTTTTATCAGTGAGTCGAGGGTGACTCAATATATTTTTATCAAAATTAATTCGTTATTATAGACGACGTGAGACCGATACCAGAACAAAATACTAATAATCAGACTACGGCATCAGAGCCTAGGGAATGATTCATATTCGCGAGGCGCTAAGGGTAAGAAACAGAACTTAGCGCGCTTTTGTCATGGTTTAATTTATTTTATATAGAATATGGTGGGGGCAAAAAGGACAGCCATCGCAGCCCATGGACACCCGTTTTAGTGGGTGCGTTGCTGGCCTTTGAGGTAGGAGTTTGCTCTTTTTTATAAACGATTGGAGGTCGTATCTCCCTTGGAAGACCCCCACCGGAAGTCGATTTCACATTTCGCCAGTTATGTTAAATGCTCGTTAATTGTAGCTCTTCCTTGGTTTATCTTAAAGTATATTTTACAATAAACACCTATTTAAGAATGAACCCAGGCCTGTGTCAGTATAAGGGGTAAAAATTTAAATTTCATATGTTATTATACCTCCAATCGTTAAGAAACAGAATAATTATACTAATAAAAGGTTCTTAAAAGGCCGATAACGCACTCGCGATCCATCTGGCATTGAGAGTGTCTATGGGCTATCATTTAACATCAGATGAGCCTCCTGTCCGTTTGCCCCCAGTTCTATATACACAATGATATTTAATAAAAAGTATTTGCCGTATTCTGAACACACTGACGAAATACATAATAAATATAAAAAAAATCTAAAGTGACGTTTGCAAGTCAAACCTAGGGTAAACAGTCAGTTACTATCTTCTCTAAATAATTTATTAATATAAATTAGTTATATTTGTAATAAATACCTAAAATTATTATGAAACAATAAAGATTTTCAACTTAGACCAAACATAGAAAATATTTTAAATTTATCAGATTGAACACATATCAACATGGCTTTCCTTTTATATCTGCTAGTTATCATAACATTTTTGTTAGCCTTTTAAAGGTAATGCAAAATCACACGCTATTTATAGATTTTAAATATAAATACGTGTATAATAAGAGCTACTCGCTAGGTCTCGGGCTCGGTTGTATGTTCTATAACCTTCCTCAGTAAATAAACTATAAGTTTGTTGGAATGCAAAAATAATATTTTTTTGTTAGACGTGGTATATTTATGAATCAATAGTTTCCGTAACGATTTAGGATTTGTCATTGATCTTTTTCACATCTTGCGTAACACTATCATAATTTAACACATAACCTTTTTTTTAATTCTATAGATTATGTTCATCGGGGATAACGTAGTTCTAATGGCGAAATAATTTTTCTACAATTAAATCTTTTTATAATAGGTATTAGTGTAAATGTCCGGTAACTATCGGAGGCAGCAAAAAAGTTTTTGTGCCTTTTCAAATCAAATATTCCTTCATGAAAGGGGCAAATATGAATGGGTCTTGTTCTACAGACAAACGTGAACGTGAACAAGACGTGCTAAATGAATTACATACTAACTAAGTAAGAAAAGATATATAATTTGAAACATAAGTAATAATATATATATTTTTATAGAACAGGGGGCAAACCGGCAGGAGACTCATCTGATGGTAAGTAATACCGCCGCCCATGGACACTTTCAATGCCAGAGGGCTCGCGAGTGCGTTTCCGGCCGCTGTTTTCTTGAAGAAAGAGCGTTAAAATTTGATGAAACATTATTAAGTTTTTTTTAATGGAACAGTTGGCAAACGGGCCTGATTTTAAGTGATACCGTAGCCCATAGACATTAGACAGTTATATTGCCAGAGCGCTCGCAAGTGCGTTACCGGGCTTATAAGAATTGGTACTAAGTAAGGTCTTTTCTTTAAGACTCCTAAGAATTGCTTCAAACTCAAACTCAAAATATCTTTATTCAAGTGGGTAACCAAGTACACTTTTGAATCGTCAAGTTAAATTAATCGTAAATTTACATTTACTACCAGTTCGCAAGTCAAGGGCGTAGAGCGGGTAAGAAGAACTGGCAAGAAACTTTCCGCCACTCTTTTTAATCGCCAAGTATTGTCATACAAATTGTTTGAACTGGAGCAATTCAATCCCAAGGATTAGGATCATTTAAGTAGTCCTCAAATTTATAAAAAGCTTTGTTGATTAATTTTCGTTTAACGAGGGCTTTGAATTTATTTAGTGATAATACTCTAATTTCGCTTGGGAGTTTGTTGTAAAAACGAATACAATTTCCATATAAGGAGTGGTTTATCTTTTGGAGCCTGGTTGGTCTTACACTCAAATTATTTCTATTTCGCGTATTATACTGGTGAAAGTCACCATTTGTTTTAAAATCGTTTATATTTTTTTGGACATACAACAAGGCTTCAAGAATATATTGACCAGATAGTGTCATAATATTTAATTCCTTAAACTTATTCCGTACCGATATCCCGAACAGCCCGCTTCTGCAGCACAAATATGGATTAAACCTCTGCAGCAGCACCCCACAGTAGAATACCGTACGACATAACGCTGTGAAAGTAGCTATGATAAACAATTTTTGCCGTGTCCTTATCAGTAAACTGTCGGATTTTCTTTACTGCATATGCTGCAGAGCTCAGCCTATTCGAAAGAGTATCTATGTGTGGCCCCCATTGGACTTCGGAAAAATGCACATCGGTGGACAGCTAATATTTTGTGATATGCTACATTGTGTTGGCATCAGTATGCCAAGATGTGACCTTTTAGTTCGATTAGAGGCAAACGTGAGTATTGATGTCTATTAAGAACCACTTTCATGTTAACTCTGTTTTTAAGGTCGTGGGTGCAACTATCTTGTCTATATACGTGTGTCCTCCGTATTCTCCCATGCGTCTCTCCTGATTTTTAAGCGAACTCTTCAGTGGTTTTAATACTATAAATATCCTATTTTTAAATTAATACATACATACATCGCACATATTTAATATAATTTCAAATATATGATATGTAAATATATGTTTTATACAAGTTTACTAGCAGACTCGGCCAAGCTTTGCTGTGGCTAAGATTTTTGTTATATTACATAGTAGTAAACTATTCAAGGGAAACGGTAGGAGAACTTATGTGAAAGGTAGATGACATCTTATGTGAAACGTTGATAATTTTAACACAGCGCCATCTGTTAGAATTGTATCAAATAATAAACAAATATTTTGCAATAAATTAAAATTGCGACTATAATTTGAGATTTAAACTATCCTATCTCTCAAGTTGGATCGAACTGCACATGGTGTGCAAATTTGATTGATATCGGTTCGGTAGTTTAGGAGTCCATTGAGGACAAAAATTGTGACACGAGATTTATATATATTAAGATTAATGAAAAATTAATTAAAGTATATATTTAAACCCTCAATACAGTTTTGCAATTCGTTTTATATTTGTTTGTTTGTAGTAAACTAAAACAAATAAACCTTACAAAGGAAATTGCATCGAGTATTTTTTCGGGCCCAAATAACTTATCCTTTAATATAATAAATTCTATTAATACGTTTTCATATCTCCAAACATGAAACAAAATATTAGTTGACTATAATCGGTCATAATTATCACAAACTATGCGTAGATTTTTTTATCATAAAGAAAACAAAACAAATAGATAAAAACGTACGTATATAACGTGTTACATAACTTTTATATGCTAATTTAGATGCTTACGATTAGCTTATGTACACTTCACCCCTCTATTTGATTAAAGATTCTAAGAAGTTGCGTATTTTCGCTTTCAGTATAATATACTCGTAAATATATTTCTGCTATAAAATAACTTACTCCAGGTTCTCTTATCTCTGAATACTCTTCTTCTGGCCTTTACATTCGTTAAGTAAGCGTTATAAACAAGCATACAAATCACCTTTATTTACGATATTATTCATTAGTAGGTTAACTTACAAAATTATATCGATTATATAACACAATTTATTGATATATTCACGACTTAATGAGCAGATTACTGACATACAGTCCCTAAGGAAATCATTCTATGTTCATACATTTTGATTTTGATAATTTTAAAACATATGCTTCAATAGTGCTGACACATTTCTGTACCTATTTAATGATATTTTAGGCTTCTGGGACTACAAATTGGATGCAATCATTGTGTCGCCGATAACCGGCTGATGTACGCCATATGGACTATTGAGATTGATAAGGCCATACCTTACCGTAAGAGATAATTTACGCACATAGAAATAAAAATCCGGGCACACCCGCGATTTGAACACCCGACCTTAGGGTTGAGAACCGCATGCCTTAGTCAATATTATTTCTGTAAACCAGGTGTTAATATTACGATTGCATTGATCAAGTGCGCGTGCGATGCATTACTGTCTGCACTGACGCAATACTGGAAAGAAGTGATTTCGTTATATCATTCTGTTTACTTAATATTATTACATATTCTCACGTAAATCCACGTAATATTCAAATATAAAGATAATACATATGTATTGTAATTCTTACTCAACATATATGTTTTTTATATCAATATACATCCGAAGCAATCGCAATGATGTCATAGGAATAACAACAGACTTCCATAAAACACTATATAGTGCAGATTTGTGCGAAACGCTATAGACCATAGAAGAAGCAGAACAACCAATGGAGCAGGCGGGATTAAGGAAGAGTTTCTCAACTGCAGACCACATTCACACTCTGGAAATTCTGATTGAAAAATACCAAGAAAAACAGCGAGCTCTTTATATCGCCTACATCGACTACAAAAACACAAAGATACCGTTTCACATGTATGCACTAATAGAGCAAGGAGTAGCGAAGGAGTATATAAAAATATTAAAAAGTATATATCGTAACAACACGGGCAGAGTCAAACTTGTGAAAGTCGGTCCAAGCTTTCTCATAAAAAGATGTATGAAAAGGAGACCCGGCATCCCCTATGCTGTGAATTGCCATCCTAGAGTCGATAATAAAATAACTATACTGGGGAACAAGCGGCCTGAGATCCTTGGAGGAGGCCTTCACCTGCGGAGGGGTTCTTGTTCTCGGAAATAGATATTAATTAGTACGGATAAAAAATAGTAAAAAATTTGTGTAATTTATTTTCTTAAAAAAATATAACAGGATTAAGTTTGCTTTGTCTATGCAAGAAATATGATTTTTATTTTATTTATTTATTTTATTATACATCATAATACGAAGTAAATAAATACCAAAAGGAAAATAGCTGTTTTAAAACACTGCAGACTATCTTTCATACATAATTTATTTACAATTTTTTTTTTATTAACAATGATGATTAATAAGAGAGGAGTGCGGTTGGGGTACTCTTGCGCCACAAATCGTCATACTCCTATTGTGTTAGACATCTGTTCCTAGCTATGAGTGCTATATAAATGTATCAGTACATAAAAGTCCATCTCTAACATATATGACCTTCAAAGCATGTGCGATGTTGAAGTACATTAAATGGAATTTCAAATTAAATTCAACATCAAAGCCAGCGACACTGCTTTCAAATGTTTCGAACTTCATAAAGAGCATATTAACGAAATAAATGCTTGTATGCACAATGAAACATAATTAACAAACTTCTACATACTTAATTATCTACTGTTTTAAATTTAAAAGCAAAATTAATAATATTTGAGATAAATTATAAAATACTTCTAAATCATCAATTTTTTATTTAACAGTGAGTTACTGTTAATAAAAGACAAAGATCCTATTAAATATTTTAATAACTTTGAAAATATCTTGCATTTCACACAAACAAGAAACCTTTTCTTCAGGATAGGGGACTAACGGCCCACCTGTTGTTAAGTGATACCGCCGCCCATGGGCTCGATGCGAGAGGGCTCGCGAATGCCATGTCGGCCTTTTGTAACGTCACTGAGTATAACACGTGTTAATCAGATGAAGCGAATAAATTCCCAAGATAGGTAGATAAGATATTCCCTCTACATTAACATAATTAAATCGTAACACAATTAAATATATTGGAAAACTGAATTAATTTCTCGATAACATTTCAAAGTAATTAATGTTTCGGTGAAACCGCGTACTAATCGTTAATAATCAGTATAACAAATTGAACGTAGCGTTTAATCTAGATTGTTATTATATTCAGATTTAATAACGTCGACACATGGTTTCTAAAACACTAGCCGTAATTTTCACGACGAATACGACGGCGCGTTTCCTTTGATTCTAATTGCTCAAACGGAACATGGAATCGTGTCTCATGCTTTGGCTATTATTGATTCGATATGTACATATATATGTTATATAAGAATATTTTTTGTTTCAAAATTACTATAATGCGAATTTTACTAATTTTTATTTAAATAAAGGACTTTTTTAAACTTTACCGTTATAGTAACTTCTATTCCTTGAGCATTATTAGGTAGATCTATTACGTAAAACGTTTACAAGGATAAATCTAACTCGCACATTAAAAGCTAGTATATCACAGCAAATTATTGAATATAATTTGTTTTCGGAACTAGGAAATTTGCTATTTTTCATCGCGTTTTCACATGAAATATTAGTAGTAAATTGTCCTTCAATTTTGTGTTATTTATTCTATACAGGGTGGTCAAAAAGTCGTGGATCAAACGCAATTGGGGATAGATGAGGTCATCAGCTGCAAAAAATTGTTTTACAGGAGGTCTCTAAGCTCAACCCCTGCAGAGTTATTTTGCGTTTTATAAGAAAATTGACTTTTTTTACTAACTCTTATTAAAATCTTTCTCATAATATCCACTAGATTGGTACTGATGAGTTCTTGCGTTAGACATACTATTTATAGTTGTTTATTGAGTGTATTGAACATAATATTAAGTTATACGATATAATTTTTTTTCAAATCAAAACTTTTTGTTTACTTCGGACCCCACTGTGACGACTTTTTGGCCATCCTGTATATACAAATTGTTGGACAACATTGATATCTTAACCAATAAGGAAGGTCAGCAGAAGAGTGATAAATATACTTCCTTAACCATATCTCTATCCGTACCTTGACAGATAACAACTACTCTAAGGGGCCTTTATACAAGTTGACGCCTGCTTCCTATGTCAATACCTCACCAAAAAAATACTAGGTACATACCAACTCTACGCGAAATACTATGTCTATTATGAAATCCTAAAAGTAAACTGTGGAACATATGAACCATAAAAACTAGAACCATCACCTCAAATATATATTTAATGTTTAAATAACTCTTTGGTACTTTGAAAATAAATAGAGACGGACCGTTATAATTGATCTATAATAACAGATTTGATGATTTTTTGATAGTTTTGACTTTGAATTTTTACTTATTTATGTAACATGGCTAGTTATTTATATGGTCTTTGTACGCCTCCCTACCAGTGCTCTGCTCTTTAAACTCTTAATAGCAATGCGAATGAAGAAAACAATAATGAACTTAATTGGTAGAATTCAAGAATAGTAATTATAGTCTATCCTCTATCTCTTATGTGTGTGTCACCTATTAGTTATGCACTAACTCTAATTTTTATATTTCCTTCAATTTATTAATTAGCCAACTTGACTTGGTATAGTAAAAACCTCTTTATAACAGGTTGGTTTCATTATTGAGAGTTATAGAGTACCAATACTGGTGTTTAATATTGGTAAGGGTTAGGTCAATTCACTAGAATCTATGTCGTTTTAACTCCCGATACTTTATCTTCCTTATGCAAAATGTATGAAGTAATCTCACGCGACTTGCGATACTCTTTCGTCCTATTGAAACTATACCATAGTGACCATACTATGGAGTTGAGCCTTATGAATTAATACTTATTAATTTAAAATAACACAAAACTCAGCGAAAAATAACCTCTCGAAAAGGGCACACATGACACAATGTATGGAAATAATAATTAATGTATTGCATAGATTAACAATTTTTAATTGTCCGTTGCGTGAAATGACAAAAGGTCTACATAATTTCCCTACGAAGTATTGATAATCCATATTTATACTCTATAATACATATTTGGCGTTCCATTCACATCCGAGTTATCGACATTCCACTGTATTTTAATATATTTAATTTTGTTTGTTGTTTTTTTCTGTGTATTGTTTTGTATGTGATATAAATGGAAATAGTTGCCGAATTGGAGTAATCTGTAAACTTATTTTGTTAAAATGAAGTAATATTAATTAATTATTTCTCGAATTGTTTTCTTTTATAATCCATTGCCTTAACATTGCAAGGTCAGCCGTCTCGTCGGCTTGACGCCTATTTTCGACTAATTGATTCGTCCCGCTCTATTATCAATGAAAAGCATATAAAAAGATCGATTTATTACTCGCGAATAATTTAAATCAACAGGAAATAAGGTAATTTGAAGGATGGTAGTTTCCTGTGTAAATTTATCCGGAAAGACTATAATTACATATTTACAAGTTAGATGCTTTACATAATGTATTTTATATGTAGTAACTCGTATCCGTAAATTCGTTATATCCACAATTTGAAATTAACTTTATCAACACAGACATAACGCACGCATATAACTCTCAACTACATACACTCTCAAATACATACACTCTCAAATACATACACTCTCAAATACATACACTCTCAACTACATACACTCTCAAATACATACACTCTCAACTACATACACTCTCAAATACATACACTCTCAAATACATACGCACACACACCCAGTCCCATACTCAAACATTCACGCATACTTACTAATAATGTCTTATACAATTTGTGTTTGATTAGTACACACACACTAAGACCACATTTTCTTATAAAAATTGTATTAAACATGCTCCATATACAAATGAAATAATTGTTATCTAGTTATCCTCAACACAGGGCCTTACTAGTGTGGGGACTAGCGATAGATGAATTTTGTCACCACCATATTTCTGTCATAAATAAAGTTTTTATTATTATTATTTGTCTTAATCTGTATTTCATGGATCTTCATTCATTTAGATGTATTTTTTCGTTATGTATATTCTAGAATATAAGACACATTATCCACTGATCGTAATTTTATAAGTAGTAAGTTCTGTGTGTGTTTAAAGTATATAATATACATTAAACATATATATGTATACATATGTATAGTACGTAATTTTTTACGTTGTCTGGAAAAGTGTTTTAGCAGTACCGCCCATTTCTTAATCCTTTCCATATATTTCATCCTGACTTTTGTGATTATACTGCTCTTTTTGTAATTGACAATATATTATTTTTACTGCATTTTAGATCCTAGTGTTGATTCATAACTCCTAATTTGCAAATTTTTTTAAGTTACTTTTATAATTGTATAAGTCTACACTGTAATATCTGTAATTTTATATTTGTTAATTCAGTAGGTACTAAGGGTACTTCTTTTCCTTACAAAGGTTGCCTGGAAGAGATCGCTTGTTAGCAATAAGGCAGACCGTTGCCTCCGTAATGATTAAACATTAAAAAATAAATCAATTCACAACCTTTCTCTTTTAATAATATGTTTATGTTATTTATGAATTGATAAACAAACGTCCCTAAACATTTTTAGCCTATCCTAGTACTATTTCGCTGACAATCGAACCAATAGTAACCGAGTTATACACTGTATGTAATCAACAACTGCGATTCAATAATAAACAATGATTATATCATAACTCATTACCATTTCAGAGCAATTATTCTTTGTTTTACTATGAAATAAAATTAATTACCTCCTCGTCCTCAGCTATATACACAGTCGGCTTCGCTTGCGCTTCAACACCACTCAGTTTCACGGACCTGCCGTCTGCTTGATCTAAAACTGTAACAAATAAAAAAATACTTTAAAGCCTTATTACTTTTAAAGGTCTAATGGTTAAAGGTTAATCAGCTATCAAGATTTCATAGTCTTATCCACAATGTATAATTAACATCGTAAATACTACAAAAACCATTTTATTGGATTAACCTAAATCATTCTTGAATCCATTTGAACACACAAAAAAATTCTTCAAATTCAGTCCAGTCGTTTAGCATAATTACAAACACACACAGAAGATTTTATATCAATATGTGTTG